TGTGTAATATCCGCCCCCACCTTAGCTAAGGGATCCTGATGCGCTGGTGCTCCACCCCTGCAGGTGTGTGGGGCTGGTGATGATGAGCGCGTTTCTAAAGACGACCCCCCCCCCCAGCGTATGATTGCAACATTATGTCTCAAGACTAATGTAAATTCAGTCTGAGAGAAACGTCCAGCGATTTATGTTCACACTTGTAGGCTGCGGTTTAAGTTTCAAACGGTCGCCTGGTTTGTGGTCGCCAGTGGGGGATTCGACGGTTACGGGTAAAAGCCTTGGTTGGGGGAGGTTGCATTTTTGTTTTTCTTTTTTTTTTTTGTCTCTGACAGCCTCGGAGCCAAACCTGAAGGTCCGGTCAAGGTTAAAACAGAAGGTTGCTGAGAGGAGGAGCAGCCCTTTGCTGAGGAGGACAGACAGCGCCCCGTACAAGAAGAGGACGCTGGAACTGCTAGGTGGGACGTGTGTGTGTGTGTGTGGGTCACATGATCACAGTCACATGATCACAGTCACATGATCACAGTCACATGATCACAGTCACATGATCACTGCTGTGTGTAATCTAGCCTTCTAATGGGGTTCAGTCACTTCTCCCAAGGTGCTATAGTGTCTTCTCTTTTTTTAACTGACCTGTTACGCTATGATTTTGGCTTGGGCCCCAGATTCTACCTCCAGCAGCAACGCCCCAGGAACTGGGCCCAGCTCTCCCAGCAGTGCCTGCAGCACCCTGGGAGGTGAGAATGGACCCTCCCCCATGTCCACCAACACACAGACTGAGGTACGGCTCCCTAAGCGCCCACCCACATCCACCTACATGGACCAGAAACATCCTCCGCTTGCACCCACTCATATCCATCCAAATTTCACTCGCATCAAGCCACATCCGCCAGTATTGCCCCCACGGCCATGAGCATCCTTCAGCATCTGAGCACCCCCCCCCCGCTGTAATCTGAATGCACCTGCACATACCTGCATCTTCCCAGATCTGCACATACACACTGACCTTTATCCACCCTCGTCTCCTCAAATCCACCAGCCTCTGCCCGCGTATATCCACCCACATCCTCTTAAAATCACTCGTATCAGTCAAATTCCACCAGTGCCCCTGCCACCCCCCACATCAATGCATATTCCCTCAGCCTTATGGCAAACTCACCAGGGTATCAAAAGAGCAGATTTATTTTTCCCCTTTGGAAACAAAAAAAAATCTGCATGTGCTATTATTAGACTGAAGGGCATTCCACGGGTGAGACACGGCACTTGCGAGTTTCCTCTGAGAGTTGAAATACATTCGCGCGTTTAATTACTTCGCCGCTTTCCAGACGAAACCGAGAAACGCCGCGCACGTTCACTCCGCGGGTCGAAAGTGTATCTGATCTCATTGCACGTCATGAACTAGAAAATGACGAGTACGAGGCTCTGGAAATATCGCATGACATACGTTACGTACAAGCTGACCGTGCTGGAGGCCACCTTGTATGAGGTCACCGTGTATGAGGTCACCGTGTATGAGGTCACCGTGACACTTGTTGAAGTCACAGTCCTGTTCAGACTCTGTGGGCCTCAGTAGCTGCCTTTTCCCTTCTTCCCCAACAAACAATACAGACAATACTATTTACCGCCATGCCTGAAGGGGCGGCTGGTCCTCTCTGCGTGTCACATAGGGTGCCTGTCACACAGCCGCATTTAGAACACTGCCTCATATTTTGGCCACTCAACAAAAGAACCAGAATATTAATAAAAGTCAACCAGTGGTTTGAGGAGAGACTGACGATACAAATACAAACAGACATTAAAACGCACGACTTTCCACAGGGAGATAGTTATAAATGTAGGGGACTTTTTAAGGGATGTTTAAAAAAGACGGGGATAAAAGCGGTCTGGGTTATAGGCCCATTTCATCCTTCTTAGAATGCAGAAGGATGGGCTCCAAGAGGAGCAGAAAGCAGCATCTACGTTAAAAGGGATTCTTTATTTGTCATGGCAGTCACAAATATGAAAGACTGTAGGGTCCTATCAGGTATTTTAAGACCATCTGCTTCCTGTGAATGGAAACTGGAAGTCATGCTCTGATGCTATGCTGATTTTTACAGTTTTACTTGTTAATTTGGGGGGGCTCTGTTTTTCTGAATATAATAAAAATTAAACTGTACCTTAAGACAGCCAGGTTTAAGCCACTTGAAACTCAGAGTTGGTTATAATCATGAAGGGTGTTTGGCTTTATGGAATATTGTTTGATTTATTCTGTATTTGTAATGTGTTTGTAAGGCTCCAACAATGGATCTAAGACACTATTAGTGAATCACAATGCAGGCTCTGTGTGTAACGCTCCTCTCCTCTGAGGTTCCTGAAGTTTTTCTGTGGCATTTCCTTATTGATTCATGGCTCAGTTACTGGCCAGGATTCCCCCAGGACTTTGTCCACAATAGAAGACATTATTGAGGGTGGCTGATCGCACACGTCGCCAAACAGTCTTTACAGACCAGCTGTGTTTTTGTAAAACATCAGTGTTTATGCTCCCATGAACCTCCAGTGAAATGTAACAGGAGAAAATAGACAAAGTGCGGGGACAGGAGGTGTAGACACGGAAAGAGCCTTCAGGCTTAATTGATATCCCAGGCTTTAACGGCAGAAGTCCCAAGACGCCAGCAACACAAGCACAAAAAGGCCGCTGTTATGTCATCAAAAGCCTCGGATCTTTAGCAAACTCATGGCACGGCGAACCTGCCCACTGCAGCCTCCTCTTGTCGGTTCCCAAAGCTGGCCGTGTTTTTGCTCCGTTACATTCGGTGTCCTTTTTCAGAGGGAAGGGTTCCCTAGGGCCAGATATAGGGCGGATATCCCATATGCGGGTCATTCCGTAATGGCGTCTGGGGGTAGCTAGGATAAACATGGCCTCCCACCAGCAGAGGCCAGAGGATAACTCTGATGGGTACAGGAAGCGTGCCCCCGTAGCCTTCCCCCTGGGGGGTAGCCTGAGGGTGTGTGTGTGTGTGTGTGTGTGTGTGTGTGTAGGGGGACTCGATGCTGCCGAGGCTGACCCACGGGGATAGGTTACGCCGCATGTAAACTTTAACCCACTGCACAAGAGCGGGATAAAGATCCTGACTGTAATGAATCTCTGCTGCTGGCTCCGCCCCCTTGGCCAGAAGGCAAGATGGAGGTCAAGATTGTTTTGATTGTCTCCCTTATATAACATATGTAACTCGCATTAGTAAATCAAATATGGCCGGCAGTAGCATGGCTCACGGTGCAGGAGACGGCGGAAGCTCATTTTGTCATCTCTCCCCCTCTTTCTCTGATAGTGCTGGCCGATACATCAGAGGATTTTAAAGCCTAAAGACTCGATGGCTTTGCTCAGCTTGTACACGTCCCCCTCCCTGCCCAATATCACGCTGGGCCTCCCGGCCTCGCCCTCGCCGCTCAGCGTAAGTCACCCGAGTCTTACTGCCAAGAGACCGCTCTCTCATCCTCCGCGTCACACTTTTGGAAAAATCGTTGTCTTAGGGCTGTTTGATAAAAAAAATAAATAAAAATGAGCCTCTCCTTCAAAGTTTCCCTGAATTTAATTCCTGGCAGAGTTTCCCTGAGCAGCCGTCGGCGATGTCTGCTGCACGACCAGCATAAAGTGGCCCTTTGCATTAATATATGGCTTCAGGGTGGTGACCTTTGACCCCAAAGCATTTTATACTCTTTGGATAAATACTGTTCCTCCGTGCCTGGTGTTACGGTGACTCTTATCGCATTGTATCACCTAATTCATCACCGTAAGTTAAATAGCCTGCGAGCTTAACTACGGCCCCAGGTACCAGTCCGCTGACATGGATAATGTCATTAAAATGGCGGTGGGGGAGGGGGGAGGGGTGGGTTGTGAAGGTATGTTCTGGCAGTTCTTTTATTTATCTTAATATAGACACTGGTGTATTAGTAATGTTCTTAAAACTCTTTGTGTTATGTATTTCCTCTTGTATGCTTTCTTTTAGACACACATATACATACATATCACCCTGGGGGCCATGTAGAGTATTTCTCTATTGTCTGGGTTGTTGTTGGCGATTTACTTTATTACATCATACCGTTTTGTCTTTATGACTCATCTGCATCCCCCATCATGCCTCTGCATTGTCACTGTAAAGGAGCAGGCTACACCCGACCACAGCCCTGCTCTGCCTTAGGTGTCCTTCTCACGCCTTCTCTCCGTCTTCTCCCCCCCCTCTGGTCCGTCGCACAGGCCGGAGTGGCGCTGAAAGACAGCCCGCTGGACTGTGGTGGCGTGGGTACGTCGAGGCAGCCTCCGTCGGGCCCCTTCCTGGGTGCATCTCCCCTCCAGTCCAGTCTGTCCTCTGGCAGCTTGGAGGCCAAACCCACAGGCAGTGGCAGCAGCCATCAGGCGCTGCTGCAGCACCTCCTTCTAAAAGAGCAGATGAGGCACCACAAGATCCTCTCCACCGGTACGTTGCCTGAGGAGGTCTGCAGGAGGTCTGCAGGAGGATCCACGGGCTCCTCCTGGGCGCCGCGATCTGTTTCCTGCCTCACTGCTTATTGATGTTCTCCGTGTTTGCATGGTTTGACCTCGTTAGGCCCCGGTAGCGTTCCCGTGCGGCCTCAGTCCCCCCTGCCCCCGAAAGACCGGCTGACCCCCAGCGTCCGCCATAAGCTGCCCCGGCACCGGCCCTTGCACCGCACGCAGTCGGCCCCACTGCCCCAGGGCGCACTGGCCCAGCTGGTCATACAGCAGCAGCACCAGCATTTCCTGGAAAGGCAGAAGCAGTACCAGCAGCAAGTCCACATCAACAAGGTATCCGGGCCTTCGGCAGGCCAGCATGCTGCTCTCTGCTGGTGCCAAACAGTCACTGCATGTGGTCAGGTGGTCCAGTTCAGTCCAGATCAATAACGATTGGGCTACGTACAGTAGTGTTGCTGTAGTGTTTTTAAATGGTTCTTTGTTTATCACACTCTTTACATCTGAATTCATATAACTGTGTAACTTGCACAGCTGATCCCTGTGATCGGAGGTTCCCGATAAAGACCCTGGCATCTGTACCTCCGATTCAGTTCCTGAGCTGCGGTTCCACATTCCACAAGCTTTTGTGCCACTGCAATATTACAGTGCAACCACTCCGTCTAAAGGGGGGGGGGGCAGTCTTACCCAGAAAGGGCTACTGGGTATGTGGGTTTTCACTGCCATTCCCTAATTAGATTACTAATCAGAGGACTGATTGGCTGAAGGATCCTCACACCTGGGTTTGAACAGCTGACCTACAGGTTATCCCAGAAACCTGCATAAATCCTGACGCTGAACCTGGAAGGCTAGCTGAGGTCTCACTCTGATAATTTGGGGAAAAAAGAAAACAAAATATGTGAGCCATTAACAGTTATACTAAATTTATTATTTATTGTACGTTCACATTTATTTTTACATTGCGGAAGACACGTCTGTTGTCCTCAGTGAGTGCACACGTGCTTTAAATAGAAGGACCCAAATATCTGTAATCGGAAGTAGGTATCGCTGACGGGTCCCGGTGGCCTGACCCCGTTTTTACTGAAACCTAAAACGAAATTCTGCCCCACCTGAAAGCCACAGGGGACGCCGGCCCTGCTCTCAGTCTCCGACCACAGGCGTCTAAGCCTTTTGTGACTGAATTCAGTCAACTGCACGCCGAAAAAGGGGAGTGGCTTAACAACACATGCTTTCTGCCCCTGTAGCAGTGTCCTGTTGTTTTGTTTTTTTCTTTTGCGCTGGTGGTCCTGATCTCTGGCTTGACCAGCCTTTGACCATAATTGTTGGGCATGTTAGGCTCAAGGTGGATTTGGGGTGCTGGGTTCGAGGCTGGAGGGGTGGAGTAGAGGGGTTTAATGTGCTTTGGCAGTTCTCACAGACACACTAACTGAAAGCAAAAGCATCAAACCACATCACCACGAAACCCATCCCAACTGCTCTCCGTAGCTTTAAATTTAGGCCTGACCGGGCTGAACCCCAACTGCACAGCACAAGTACTATATTTGTCATCTAGCAGAGTTGATGCTTTGTGAAAATGAGCATCACATTTCTCCCAGCATAGGTGACAGCTATTTTAAGCTGCATTTAGCTAATTGTCAAGGAGCTAATCACTAATCCATTTAAATCTTACACTGAGCATTGTAATTAAGCATGGCAGCATAACATTTCTACAAAGGTGTGTATAAACGTTCTCTAAGCAGGGATTAGCTTCCATTGTTTAACAGCTGGAATTTCTGGATCATTAACCCAATTAATTCGGAGCAAGGGGATTGAGTGGCGTAGTATTTAGTTGCATTTTGCTGCTGTCATATTTGGTGCCCGCATTTCTATGATTAAAAGGATTTATAAATATCAGAAATACTGCAGAGAGCTTAAATGCAATTATCCGCTGGGTATTAATGATGTAAGAATCAGCTGTATGTCATCCACATAAATATGTAGGCTATTTCAGCTTGATATCCTGTAAGGGATTTTTTCCCCACCTTTGTCTATAAATGGATATATTCCTTTGGAGCAGACAAAAATTGGGTTTTTGGGTTATGGAAAAACTGCTAAAAAAATCACACAAAACACAATCCACTGAAGCTGGGCAATGGGCAGTGGGCAGTGAGCAGTGGGCAGTGGGCAGTGGTGGCTTGATGGTCAGGGAAGTGCACTTGTAATTGAAAGATTGCTGGTTAGAATCCCCGACCAGCAAGGCACCACTGAGGTACCCTGAGCAGGGTACCGCCCCCAAGCACCGCTCCCCGGGCGCTGAATTAGCTGCCCCCTGCTATGTCACATATGGGTTAAATGCAGAGGACACATTTCGTTGTTGTGCACTGTGTGCTGTGGTGTGTCAACAATGACCACTGATCTCTAGATTCTAGGGGATAATGCTGCAGACAATCAGTATAATACTGATCTGTGCTGAAAATGACTTCTGCTCTGATTTTCTTTAGTCCTGAGATGTTTGTATATGTTGCTTCTACATTTATTGAAACTGATTGAAATTCCCTGTAAATTAATAAGCCCGTGACATGAACTCATTCCCTCAGATGCTGTCAAAGTCCATCGAGCAGCTGCGTCAGCCGAGTTCTCACCTGCAAGAGTCTGAAGAGGAAGACCCAGGGGAACAGGCCATGCAGGAGGACAGACTGCCCCCTCGAGGCGTCATCCGGAACTGCAGCAGCGGCTCGGACGGAGAGCTCCACATAGCCAAGCCTGGGTTGGTCAAGGTCAAGGAGGAGATGGCTGATAGTGAAGACGAATGCCCCAAAGAGGCTGAGCGGAGCTCCTACCTGCGCCAGGCCAACGGGAAAGATTTTGCCCAGAGGTTGGTCATACGAGCAATGATTTGAAAAGCGCTGTTCTACAGTACGGGCTGAGAAGCGGGGTTTGGGGGTCGCTGCCCCAACTCCTGGACTTTTTCTGTTTGTGAACTTGTGAACTGATCTCTGTAACATCTTTTAATGTTTCACATCCACTCTGGAGACAAGAGATGCCTCAACACTTATCTCTTCTTTGGGGGAAAGAGTTAGCCGCTCCTGGTTTCTCTATCTGACTGGCAGCCTTCCTCTACAATCAAAGCTGGTAATGATATCAATAATCTGTTGCTTAACTTCAAATTTTCTGTATTTTATACCTTTCAGATTTTTTTTTATCCAGTTCATTTTTAGTACCCTGTCCTACACTTGTTTCGTCAACAGTAATGCAGAATTACTGTAATATGTTTGGAAGTCATAACATTTCCAGCAATTTCCTGAGGTAACCGATGAATACATTTGCAGAGGAACTGTTAAAACAGGATAGGCCTCTAATCATATGGGGAAGATATCTTGTCAACATTGACATCAACAATAATAAAAATAGTGAAAAATCTGAACACTGAAGTCCTGGCAGTCCAGCCCAGAGGAGCTTGTCGCGGTGCCACGTGACAGGTTGAGAAGCACCAGCACATTCGGGCCCAGCCCTCTGCTCAGCCCTCCTGGGCCTAAATTAGAGCAGAATCATGTTCCCACCCTGCGTCTAGTGGAGAGGAGAGAGAGGCTGGGCAGGAAATGCCTTCTGGAAGCGGGGAGCCGGAATGATTCATGTGCGTAGGAATGTGGGCGAGGAAACACGGGTTTGGGAGTCCAAGGGGCCAGGATTTAGAATTGATTTACTGTCTTAGCGAGTAGGAGAGCGGGCGGGAGAATGGTGAGGGCAGCTTTCCAGTGAAACATTTCCTTCATATTCCCTTGGGGTGTACTTACCTCTTTGTGCAGGATGGAGGTGGTTCAATGTGAACTTGCAGTATCACTTTTTCTTGATAGGCATTACTCTTCATTATTGCCCCTTACTCTTCTCAGATTACCCAACACAGTCTTTCAACTGACATCTCTCCCTGCTACTCTGACTCCTCTCAGATTACCCAGCACAGTCTTTTGATAGGCATTGCTCTCCATTACTGCCTCTGACTCCTCTCGCGTTACCCAATAATCTTTCAGTTGGCATTGCTCTTTGTAATTGTCACTCCTTCTCCTCTCAGATGATGAACAATCTTTTGGGTGGCTTTGGTCTTCTTTAGTATGATTCTGACTCCTCTCAGATTACAAACAATCTTTGGGTTAGCATAGCTATTCATTAGTATGACTCTGACTCCTCTCAGATTATCCAACAGTCTCTTGGGTAGCATTGCTCTTCATTAGTACGACTGAAAGATCTCAGATTGCCCAACAGTATGTAAGCATGAGGCCCAAATCATTCAATTCTGTTTTTTTGTGTGTGTTTGACCTTTTTCCTGCTATGTTTTTGATTAAATATCGTTATTGTCAGTCGGCTATTTGGGGGATTGTGGCTCTAAAATCTGTGGAAGATGCAGACAAACAGGCCTCATAGAGAAAAACAAATGTCTTTACAAATGTCTTTCCTGTGTTTCGTGAACCTTGCTGTACAGTAGATGGCTTCAGTAAGACTCCCTGCAGACAGGACATGTCGGTCATGTTCTCCTGCTCAGTTCGTTTTATTGTAACAGAAATTCTCCGTGGTGGAGAGGTTCTGCTTTCTGTTCTTTGCTGTATGTATTTGTTCCCTTTTCGCCTCCTGTTTTAAAACTTTGTTCTTTTTTAAAAAAAAAAATAAAGTTCATTCCCTTTCCTGTGCTGTAGTGTAAGCTCTTACTTTTTTTTCTCGATGCTGGCCACAGATACGAGACACTGACCACTTAAAAACCATCAGCATTTTCTGTTTGGCTTGGGCTGGGTAGTTTTTAAATGTGACAAAACATAAATGTCACTCAAAATATCAAAAAACACTATGCAAATGATTAGGAGCATTTCCTCTGCAGAAACCTTTCCTGAGGTAACCCTTCAAAATAATCATGTAGAACTGCTCAATCTGCCACCTGCATTTCCTTAAAAACAGACCCTCCCACTGACCTCATCACTATGAGTCCTGCCTATTATTTGCCATGGTCTTTTAAAAAGGGATCCTCCCCCCAGGTGAGCTCCTTTGCTATTGTTTAGTGGACTTTATATATACTAATGATTGTAGGAGGTGCTGCAGGCAGTCACCTGGGGGGAGGTGGGAGGTGCTGCAGGTAGTCACCTGGGGGGAGGTGGGAGGTGCTGCAGGCAGTCACCTGGGGAGAGGGTGGGTCCTGTGCGATAAGTTTGCCAAGTAAGGGCGAAAATATGAGAAAAATCTCTCATTGGTTTTAGAAAAAACATTTTTCAGGGGGTCTAGGGTTAGAACTGCCTATGCTTCTCATCAAAGATTCCAATTTCTACCCTCTGTACTGTGCAGCCAATTCAAACCGCTACAGCAATAAGCGAGACCTCAAAACCACACAACATGGTCACATTACAGGAGTCCTCGTGTCCCAGCCGTGGTTTGCCCTGAAATTTAAGATGGAATCCCTCTCACTCGAAAGGTCTCATGGGTGCTTCCCTAACAGCCCGTTAGTGAGAACACGGTGCAACACCATCTGCAATCACAGGATGCCGGTTTTCTGGTCAGTTGCAGTTTAAGTAAATCAAACACAAATCATTAAAAACCCGTCTAAGGAGGCGTCCAAACTAGTGAACCAAAGGAAGGTGCCCCCCCACCTCAGCATTTAAACTCAAGCTTACTGCCTGCTGATTGGTTGCAGTCTAACCGGTCTATCCAGCTGCCTAAAGGTTTTTATGTGCATCTGTTATGTTTCGATATTTGTGCCAGAAGTCTGTATTTTCCACGTCCCCCGCATCACGCCTGAGCACCGGCAGGGCGAGACCTTCGAGCCGTTATAAAGAGCTATAAATACTGCTGGAGAATACATTTAATTCTCCGCTACTCTGGAGACTTGAAGAATACTTATTCATGAGCCTGTAAGGAATCAGGAATGTATCGCGAATGTCCCATATTGTGGAACTGATATGTTCAAGAAGCTAACGACTCTCAAAATGGAATTTATAGCGACTGATTCTTTAGGAGTATATTAAAGGTTTTTTTCAACAATATTTTTTGGACGTAACAGCGACAAACAGCAATATGCCTGTGAAAGTCATTTTTGAACCCTGGTGCTTTTGCCCGAAATGAAGCGAAAAGCCGACGTAGATTAAACGCTGTAATCGGCGACTGCGCTGTGAGTCTCTTCATCGTGTTTGTTTTGCTTTTGATACAGTAATTGACGGATGACTGATAAAAAAGCCATATATATTCCTCAGCATAAATAAAGATTAGGAAGTGTCTCGTATTAAGTATCCAGGCCTGCGAGCAGACAGTGCCTCTTCTTTTAGGTGATGTCATTAGTCTTGTTTTGGGGTCCCGCGATATTAAATGAGCTGTTACTGAGGCATTAAAAATACAGGACACCTCCGCTGCCGCCAGTGTGCCCCCCCCCTCCCCAGCCACAGGGCCAGTTGGAAAAGCAAAGACGTGTCTGTGAAGGGCCGGCCGACATGGGCCACTGGCAGGGCCTCTGCATTGCGGCAGGACAGGGCCACTGGCAGAGCCACTGGCAGGGCCTCTGCATTGCGGCAGGACAGGGCCACTGGCAG